TTTTTTTTTTTTGCTGTGTTTCTTGTTTTATTCCTCCTTCCTTAATTCTTGGAACTCTGTCCTGGATGAAACACTGCCCTTTTGATAACTGGTTGATTGCTCCCACATGAAGGTGAGGTGCGTGCGTTCCAGACCTGAAAGGTGACTAACAGCCAGTCTGGGCCTCCTGCCTGTCTCTGTCATACCTGTAAACTTGGTCTATTCGCTCTCATTTTTGGAGGATATGGATAGAGAATTTGAGGTTGGCAGTTTTTTCTGTACGTAGTTTGAAAAGATTGTTCCATTGTTCATTGCCTTCCTTGCTTCTGATGAGAAGTCAGCCATTGTGCTTATTACTGTTTCCTTATAGATTATGTTCTTTTTCTCTGTCTGCTTTTAAGGGTTTTTCCTTTATGTTTTGTTTTCAGCAGGTGACCATCGCATGTATAGATGTGACTTTCTGTGTATTTGTTCTGCTTGGGCTTCATTGGGCTTCTTGGACCTGTGGGTTGATATGATTCGTCAATTTGAGAAAATTCTTAGCCATCGGTATTCTTTTGTTTCCCGCCTTTGTTTTATTCTTTCTGGAACTGCTGGTCGTAATGATTATTGAAAATGTTTGATGTTGCCCCACAGATCTCAACCAGCCCTCCCCACCCTTTTCCTTTCTTTACAGTTTAGTTAGGCTTTTATTGATCTGTCTTCAGGATCACGGACTCTGTCCTCTACTGTGTTCAATCTGATGATAAACTCTTCAGCGTAATTCTTTACTTTGATGAAATTTGTTTCCATAATTTTCATGTGCCATTTGAAAAGGTACTGTGGATATTTCTGCTGAAATGACTTCATGCATATTGTTCATCGTTTTCATGGGATTTTACCCTGGTTATTGTAAATGCCTTGTCTAGTAATTCCAGCATTCAGGCTATCTCTGGGCTTGTTTATCAGTGAGGTACACACTTTGGCTTTCTCACATGTCGTTTGTCTCAGGCTTGTTACGTAAATACCAGACACTGTATGTGAAAGGACACGTTCGGATTGCAGTGAGGCTCAGAGAAGGGTGGCTGTTCGTCTGCAGTTGGACCGGCCCTGGGCCTTGTTGCTGTATTTAGAATCTGCTCATCACTGCTTTCAGATCACTGAAGAGTGGGCTCAGCACCTTTCATTGACAAGAATCTGTGGGCCTGAAGCTTTGACGTAGTTCTGCTGCCACACCCTCAGCCTTCTGCAGGACTGCCCTGCACCTGCACCTTGGGGTGCAGCAAAGAGGGATTCTCCCCTAGCTCTCCAGCTCCTCCCCAATACAGATGGCCAGTGCTCCAGCCAACCTTCTATGTCCTGTTACCTTTTGGGTGGCTTTGTATTCATTCTTCTGTGATCAAATAACCATGTGTTTTTCTCTTACCCTCCCCAGCCACTGCAGTGTACAGATCAAAGCTCTGGCCAAGATCCGTGCTTTTGTTCAAGACACGTGAGTGTTACTATCTTCAGAATTCACATATGACAAGGAAAGGCCCTGTGTGCTCTCCCTGTGATTTCAACCAGTACTTTAAGAAACCAATACGCACCTTTGCATCTCATCCTGTGAGTGCCAGAGAAGCATATAGATGGCAGAACCCTACCTCAGAGAGACTGTGGTTCCTCTCCACCCGCCACAGGAGAGCGAGTATGGCCATGGGGCAGATCACGGACGCTTTGGTTTCCTAGCGCACATAAGAGTTAGGTTTACACTAACTGTAGTGTCTGAGGAGTGAAATAGCTTTATGGAAGAGTGTGCTCTTGGAAAAAATGGTGCTGACAGACTGACCTGACCTAGGGTTGCCACAGACATTGTTGAGAAGCGCGCGCGCGCGCGCACACACACACACACACACACACACCCCGCTAAGTGCAGTCAAAGGCAGTACACTGAGACAAGCTCTGCCCGCACACAGTCTACCAGCAGATTGCCTCCAATCCTCCGCACTACCAGCTGAGCTATTGAAGGGTGCGCAGCCGTATACAGTCTTTAGGAAGCACTACAGAAAGGGGTCAAGAAGAGGTGGGGCTAGTCCAGGAAGAGCTCTGGGAGGAGGAGCCAGTCAGCTAGCTCAGCACTGGGGTGGGGGTGGGGGTGGGGCGCTCAGTTGGCTGTCCTTTGGGCTAAGCTGGGCTGGGCCTGTCAGTTGGCTGGTGGTGGAAGAAGGGTGGTCCCTGCCCATGGTGTAGGAACAGCAGGCAGTCCCCTCTGTGTCAGTTCCCTGGGCTACTGGCCCTGTGTCGGGGCTTTCCCGTGCATATTCAGGTGTACCTCTCATCTGTGGGGTTCTGAGGGGTGCTCAGGGTGGGACCCTTCTGCCCCTTGGTGGTATGACCCACTTGCCGACTCTCTCTTCCTAGGACCCTGAGTGAGCCCCGGCAGGCCGAGATCCGGAAAGAGTGCCTGCAGCTCTGGGAGGTGAGCGAGCGTCCCCCTGGCCCTTGCTGCTCTGGTGCTCTAGGGCAGGAGAGCTGAATGCAGAGGGTCTGAGTAGAGCCTCCGCTGCCTGCAAACGCCTGCCCATCCTCACTGGCTCCCAGCGCTGTATGCTGACTCGGCCTTTTTCACTGCAGCCGAGTCAAAGTACAAGGACTGGGGAAGGACCGGCCGTATTGTGCTGCTGGTGGCCCCTGTGTAGTAACCCTAACCACCAAAGTGCCCAAGGAAAGGGACATGTCCACTGGGGTGGAATCACAGGGCCTGATAGGATCGGTGACAGTCACCCACTCCAGCCCACGTACGCTCACCCAGCCCTAGCCAAAAGGGCATTTGAAAATAAGCATGCTCTGTTGTTTCGTTTCAGATCCCAGACCAAGCGCGAGTGACCCCTTCATCTTCAGACCCCAAATCTAAGTTCTTTGAGCTAATCCAGGTACGTTTGGTGAGAGTTACCATGGGTGTGGAAAGTATCCCTCAAGCCCCCAGGGGCCTGGCTGTTGGAGGACTTGTGCAGGCCTGCTCCTGGCTTCTGGCGGCCCAGTGGGTGCTGCCGTGGGTGGGAGCCGTGGGGCTGGAGCTGGAGTCCCCCAAGAGCCCACCAGGTAGCCTGATGATCTCACCTGCCATATGCTTCCATCGCCTCCCTGCGTCCAGAGGTGGCACTGCCTCAGAGATGAGGGGTGGTTTCGGCTGGGAGCCAGGCAGAGAGCTAGAAGGGCTGTCTACAGGTTGGTTCCTGCCCTGTTTCTGATAAACTGGCCCTTGGGGTTCTCCCACCTTCTGTGTTTCCTATCCCTTGAACTCCAGCTTGGCCCTGGATCTCCTTAGGGCTGGCTGTGTGCTGAGAGTGTGGGCTGCCGTGCTGGTTGGGTGGGGTCAGGGACTAGAGCGTGAGGTTTAAGATGACCTCAGAAGAAAACTGTGGACACTTTCCTGAATGGGGTAGAGAGATCATTTAACTGCGCTCAAACCAACTGCTGGAGAGCCGTGCTTTCCGCTTTATTGAGGGGCAGCTTTTATATTCTGGTGACATTTTCTTAGAGCTCTGGTAAATCGATCTGTACTTGGGGACTCGGTGTTCTTTCCTCTCCAGCTTCTCCTAATGGGTCCTCAAGGAGCACTCCAAGTAGATGGAACTAGATCCCAGTTAGTGCGTGGCTAGGTAGAAAAAGGGGCACAGGGGAATAGGATCCAGAGAGCACGTGCCTCCCCAGAACCCTTCCCAGTCGACCTTCGCCTTGTGCAGGCACTCAGCTGAGTGTCGGTCATGTCCCCCAGCGCAGCAGGTTTTTCTCTGCAGGGGACTGAGATTGACACCTTCAGCTATAAGCCCACACTACTCACCTCCAAGACCCTGGAGAAGATCCGCCCGGTGCTCGACTACCGCTGCATGGTGTCTGGCAGCCAGCAGAAGTTTCTCCTCGGACTGGGGGTAAGTCTGTAGCTGGCTCTCTGCCTGGCTTGGGTGGTTGAGCCCAGCACTTTGTGTGGGGGAACCTGGACAGCTGCCTGCCACACAGGGTGCCCGTTCTCTGGGGCATCTACCTTCTCAGCCAGGAGCTGGGACTGGCCATGCCTTACACCTCAGTGAAGTTATTCCATGTAACCCCCTTTCCTTTCTTCGCTGAGTTAGTCAAGTGCCATTCCTTCTTTCACTGATTCCGCTTCTTGTTGATTCAGCTCAGGGCCAGCCAGTGGCCTCAACATGGCCCCTTGTCCTGTGGGGTGGAGCCTCCCAGCCTAGCAGGATGGCCAGCAGGCTGGTGCGGCCACTTCTTTGCAGTACTCCTCCACCCCATGCAGCCCTTCCCCTGGGTCCCTACGAGTGGGGAATGAGGGGCACTTTTGGCAGGGTTCGATCTTACTTTGCTGATGAGGTTATGCCTCCTCCTTTCCACTCTGCCTCGTCTTTCTACGTAACTGGACCCCATCCTCTGCCTTCACTGCCTGCCTGCCGTCACGCTTTGCCTTTCCCCCTCCCTTCTCGCCCCCTTTCTTTGTGCTCTCTGGACCTATCCCAGGCACACACCAAACGGGATCTTTCTTGCCGGCCACATTGTGAACTTAATTAAGCCTTCAGAATGGTGCCCCTTGTTGCCCTGGGACTGATTGCTGCCCAGAGAACGAGCCAGTACTCTGCTCATCAGTGGAGGCAGTGACAGCAGTGTCTGCGTCACCGACCTCAGCCCGACCTTCTCGACATTTCCCAAGCCTGCCAGCTTGCAGCTGCTGATGTTCTGAGAGCCGAGCTCTCAGCCCCGTCTCCACGACTGCCTGCCCTGAGCCTTTCTCTCGCCCACAGAAGTCCCAGATCTACACGTGGGATGGCCTCCAGTCAGACCGCTGGGTCAAACTGGACCTGAAGACGGAGCTGCCCCGGGACACCCTGCTGTCTGTGGAGATTGTCCATGAGCTGAAAGGGGAGGTCAGAGGTGGCTCTGCCCCTGGCCGGGTGCTGGGTGCACTGTGTGTGAAGTTGACAGGGCCCGGGCTGAGGAAGGCGATGTGAATTTCCCTTTATTTTCACCCATTTTCTCTGGGCTCCGTGGGGGGAGGAGCCCCCGACTCCCTCTGTTCTTGGAGGGAGTTTTTCTTTCTTGATTTGATTTCTTTCTTGACCGGGGATCCCTTGGGAAAAGGCTCCTCGTTGTTTCCCAGGAACTTTGGGTGGCACCCCCCACGGTATGCTAGTCATTGGGAGTAGTTGGCACAGGGTGGGAAGCCCAGTCTTTTGTCCCCTGGAGCCTCAGCCCTCCCCCTGCTCAGGAGCCACATTTGTCTGGGGCTGACAGTCAGCTGGCAGCGAGGTGAGAGAAAGGCCTTCCCTTTGCTCCCTACCGGCCATGGGTGGAAAGGAGCCAGTGCAGCAGGGTGGGCAAGAGGCCAGGCCAGTGTCCTGCAGGGTGGCAGCGTGCCTATCCTTTTAGGGGAAGGCCCAGCGGAAGATTAGTGCCATCCACATCCTCGACGTGCTCGTGCTGAATGGCACCGACGTGCGGGAGCAGCACTTCAACCAGCGGTCTGACTTGGGCCCAGTCCCAGGAGGGGGGTGGGGGCTAGGAGCTCAGCGCACCCCAACCCTCCATGGCCGGGCCCTTTCTTCAGCTGGCCAAGGATGGCTTTCGTTTACCCGTGCCTCCCAGCAGCGGGTCGGGAGCAGGGTGGACATGATTCGGGCCCATGGCGGTTTGCAGGGTGGGGGGCCTGGTTACCATGGATCCCAGCTCATTCATTATTGCTACAGCTGTTGGGTCGGAGGGCTGTTTATGTTAAAGTTGAGCAAGAGAGGGTCCTCTCTGAACAATGTTGCTTGTGCTTGAGTGGTCTCATTTAAGTCAGGTCAATGGTTAGTATCTATGGAGTGGGGTGGCCGGCAGACAGAGGCATCCAGGGTGACTGGCGGTCTAGAGGAGGCCGCTAAGCATAGTGAAGATGTAGTCCAGGAAAGTCAACCAAGACACTGTGACATGAGAGGCCAGGTTCCAAGAAGAGGGTAGAAGGGAGGGCGGCCCTGTAGGCGGATATGGGTGCTGCGTCATGGAGCACCTGTTCGGTAGGTTCAGGTGCGGTCTCCCCCAGGCAGCCCCCAGGTGACAGTGCCCAGGGTAGGGGCATGCCGGAGCCTGGCCTCCCTCTGAGACACTGTTTGGATTGTAGAATTCAACTGGCTGAGAAATTTGTGAAAGCAGTTTCCAAGCCCAGTCGGCCTGACATGAATCCCATCAGGTGAGCCCCTCATCTCCTCATCCCCCACCCCCCCTGCCCATTGTCCCCACTAGTGGGAATGGTAGGGCTCCGCGGGGAAGACGCAACTGTCCCTGGTGGACCTAGTAAGGCAGGCCTAAAAGCAAAGATTGCCCTTGAAGTGATTTGCTTGGGGGTGCCACCCCTGCCTGTCTCGGCAAATCAACCTCCACAGAGCAGCCTTATTGAAGGCGTACCACCACCACCAAGTCTGGCCGTCCTTAGCACTTCACCTAGGCTGCCATCCCCACCTTGTTTTCAGGTAATAAAAATTGCTGAGAGGATGGGAGTTTAAATGGGAAAGGGTGGCTCGAAGGGGTGGTGGCCTTCATGTTTGGGGAGAATGATCAGGCTTTCCTGTTAGGTAGAGTAAAAGCCCCAGGTGCAGGGGTAGGAAGGTGGGGACCAGCATCCTGAAGGAGCAGAGAGAACAGACTTGCCCAGGTGGGCCCAGGGCCAAGGGTTGAGGGTTGAGGTTATGACCAGAAGGCAGCCCGGCTCCGCTGTGTGGAGCTTTTAGGCCTAGAGTCACAGGCATCTGACTAAAGTGGCTCTTGCTGCTCCTTTTGGTGTAGGTTTCCTTGGGGACAGTGAAATCAAGGTGGGGGATGCATTCTATAGGTGTCGTCTATTGAGAGTCCAAAAGCAATTTGTCTGCACTTGGACGTGCCCTGTCTGCCCTTCCTGAAAGACAGCTTCCAGGGACCCTGACACTGATTATGGTCAGGTTGCTCGGTCTCTGGAGTCCTTTCCCCGTGACAGCCCCAAAGGCATGTTCAGGGAAGCCCAGAGGCAGGGGGCGCATTAGGGCCCCTAGCTCCCACGGGTGTCAGACTGTGGTAAGCTCCAGGTAGGCAGATCTGGGCAAGAGCTGGGCCCTTGGTTTTTTGGCCTCCGGGGATGGTGAAGTCTGTCAGTGGGGAGGTACATGGGAAGGGACATCCGTGTTTGCCAGACGTCTGTTCCTCTTTCTCCTGCCCATCTTCAGTAGCTACTGCTCTGCTCCCAGGCTGCTCTGGGGCAGACGTGAGGTAGGCTGGAATTCTTGATCCTTGGTGGGCTGGGTGGTAGCAGGAGAAGGACCTGACACTCTGAAGGCAAGGGCAGGTCCCCTCCTCAGGAGTGCCTCCCCTCCCCAGGAGCTTCTGACTCACCCCCTCTGTTTGCAGGGTGAAGGAGGTATACCGGCTGGAGGAGATGGAGAAGATTTTTGTCAGGTGACACTCAACCAGATAGCTCTGGGGTGGGGAGACAGCCGTGGGCAGTGCCCCCGCCTCCGTCCTTGCTTGTAGAGATGGGTTGGAGTGGGGCTGTGCAGCGCCCCTGGTGGGCTGCCTCTCGCCGACCTCCCGACCTCACTGGCCTCAGTGTAGCCAGCCCCGCCCCCAACCCGGCCGTGTGCACCGTGTCAGTTGGGGAGCAGGCCTATGTGCACCAGTCAGAAATACGGGCTCACGGATGCCGAAACCATTATGATCGCCCTTGCCAGGGCCAGAGCAGCCTGCTGCCTGAGCACCATCCATCCGCTCCTGGTGCTGAGTCAGGTCTGGAGAGGGAGGGCCAGACGCTCTGAAGCGCTCTGAAGCCTGTGCCTCGCTTTCTCCTCCTGTTGGACTGGGGTGAAAGGTGGAGGGTGGGGTTTCAAGGCTCACGTTTGCACTCTCTCACGCACATCCTTCCCGTGTGCACGCCCGCTTGGGGCGCCAGGTTGGAGATGAAGATCATCAAGGGTTCCAGTGGCACCCCCAAGCTCAGCTACACCGGGCGGGATGACCGGCACTTTGTCCCCACAGGCCTCTACATTGTCCGGACGGTGAATGGTGGGTGAGAGCCCCCCACTGCCTCCAGGGTGTATGCTAAAGGCACCCACCCGCTAGGCAGGTAGCAGTCAGGCTGATAGTTCTCTGGGGGTGCCCTTGTTTTCTGAGCCACCCGTTTTTTGGTGGGCCTGGCTATGGTGGTTGGGCTGGGCTGGGCTGGGCAGCCCAGCAGGTACCTGCTTGGACCATGGAGGGAAGATCTTCTCGGTGGGCAGCAACAGGTCCTGAAAGTCGGACTTGACTTCCTGTCAGTCTGCAGCCCTTGTAGAGCCTCGGCCTGGAGTATGTGCCCTCCTCTGTGTCCCCCCTCTCCATGCCTCCCCCCCATACACCCCCATCCCTCTAAGGGTCTAATGGTAGCAGGACTGAGCCGATCTGTTGAGAAGTGGGCTGTGAAGACTGTTCCCTGGAGGGGCTGGTGGGGAGGCACCCCTTACAGGGGAGAGCTGTCCACATAGTACTGTGTCCTTTCCCTTTTCCCCTCAGAACCATGGACTATGGCATTCAGCAAAAAGTTGAATAGGAAATTCTTCTACAACAAGAGAACCAATTACTCTACCTATGTGCTGCCTGCTGACTCCATTGCCCCGTTTCAGTAAGTAGCCCTTCTGCAGGGCGGGCCCCCCACCCCAGGGCCCCAGCATTTGCTGCCAGTCACACCCTGTGTTCTGAGATGTGTTCCCCAGGGGCTCCGCTGAACAAGCAGGTTCCAACTCTGCTGGGGCACCTCTGCTCTACCTGGCCAGGGGCTGAGCAGGAAGCCTACAGAGGAGTGTGATGTCACCGCCTACTGTGGGGGTTGGGCATCTGCTCATGTGACTCTGACACTGACCGTGTGTCCAATTGTCAGATGGTGGGTCATAGGTTTCCACAGCAGCCCATGCCCTAATGTGCCTGTAATTAGCCAGGGACCCTTGTTTTCTGTCACCGCAGTACTACTACTTACTGCAGCC